CCCTCTTTCTCACTCGTGGGCCTTGGTGGACATGTCGAGGCCTCTGCTCGGGGCCCTGCCAAGCCTGCCCGGCACGACCTCCTCCTGTACCCGCAGGCCCAGTGCGGTCTGCTGGGGTCTGCTTGCCTGTGGGCAAAGGGAGGCCGTAGCCTCAGACTGGAGCCTCTCGACCTTCGAGTGGGGCCGGGCTAACCTGAACTCCACCGTGCGCCCGGTGCCTCACTCCCCCAGGGGCTTCTTCCGGGCCAGTTCAGCCGTCCACCTGATTGAGCCCCTGGAGGAGGGTGGTGACGGGGCGCGGCACGCCGTGTACCAGGCTGAGCACTTGAAGCAGAAGCCCGGGACCTGTGGGGTCAGCGACGCCAGCCTGGACAACCTCCTGGGTCCCCGGATCGGTGCCGCCCTGAGGCCTCAGCCCTGGGTGAGAAGCTTCCTCCCCCATGTCTGGTTGGTCCCACCACTGTCTCCTGGCCTGGTCTGTGTGTCTTCCGTCTCCCCGTGTGCCTGTGTGCTCGTGGAGGCAAGGGTGCCACCCCCGGGCCAGGCTCCTCCATCCCGAGCGGGGCTGGGCTCTGGCCCCAGGACCCCGGGAAGGTCCAGGTCCCGGGGAGCTCCAGATGGGAAGGCTGACTGGCTTTCATCACTACGCTCTAGAATTGGCCGCCAACCCGAGGGCCCCGCTACGTGGAACTGTTTGTGGTCACAGACAGCGCAGAGGTAGATGGTCACGGGCGGCGCAGGGGCAGGAGGGTAGGGGAGCGTAGGCTCCGGCCTGAGGGTCCCTTGTCCCTAGTTCCAGCAACTGGGCAGCAGAGCCGCTGTGCGCACGCGCGTGCTGGAGGTGGTAAACCACGTGGACAAGGTGAGGGTTGTGTCTCCCCAGGGAGTCCTCTGCAGGGGTTTCCGGGAGTGTGGCACCCAGCCCACGGGATCCCTGGCTGCAGAGGTGCCCGCGTGCTGGGTGACGGAGCGGGCGGCCACGGGGGGGACAGGGCTTGTTCCCTGCGTCCTGGCCCCGGTGCCCCTGCCCCCGCTCACAGCAGGCCTGACCACGGGACACCCTCCTCTCCAGCTGTACCAGGAGCTCAACTTTCGCGTGGTCCTGGTGGGCCTGGAGATCTGGAATGACAGGAACAAGTTTCACGTCAGCCCCGACGCCGACGCCACGCTGCAGAACTTCCTGGCCTGGAGGGCACGGGACCTCGCGGGGCGGCGCCGGCATGATAATGTGCAGCTCATCACGTGAGTAGGTGGAGCCGGGCAGGTTGAGGAGGGCTGGGGGTGCCGAGTCCAGGCACCGGTGTCTCTCTTGCCTCCAGGGGCGTGGACTTCGCCGGCACCACCGTGGGACTGGCCAAGGTGTCCGCCATGTGCTCCCACAACTCGGGGGCTGTGAACCAGGTAAGGGGAGCCCCCTGCCTGGCTGCGCCTGGCCAAGGCCAGAGGTGAACGTGGGACCCAGGGCCCCCAAACACGACTGAGCTGCTGCCTCGTCGGACACAAGTTGACACCCGTTTTATGCTTTAAGATGTGTTGTGTCAGCCGGGCTCGGTGGCTCAGCCTGTCACCCCGCGCCTTGGGAAGCTGAGGTGAGTGGATGGCCTGAGCCCGTGGGTTCGAGACCCGCCTGGGCAACTTGGCGAGCCCTCATCTCTACAATGAATCAAAAAATTAGCCGGGTGTGGTAGCACGTGCAGTAGTTCCAGCTACTGGAAGGCTGAGGCGGAAGGATCGCCAGAGCCCAGCAGGTCGAGGCTGCGGTGGCCGGGAGCGGCCGCTGCACGCCAGTCTGGGCGACCGAGTGAGACTCCAACTCAAAACCAAAAACAGACAAAAAAACACACCAAGCCCTGGGTCTGCCGGGGCGCGTGAACAACCGTGCGGCAGCCCAGTGAGCACGGCCCTTCCCCGCAGGACCACAGCCAGAACCCTGTGGGCGTGGCCTCCACCATGGCCCATGAGATGGGCCACAACTTGGGCATGGACCACGATGAGAACGTCCAGGGCTGCCACTGCCCTGTGCCACGGGAGGGCGGTGGCTGCATTATGGCGGCCAGCATTGGGTGAGGCTCCTCGCGGGGCGTGGGGGGGCAGGGACGGGGCCGTGCCGGCCGTGACCCCTGTGGGCGCCCACCTCAGTTCTAGGTTCCCCAGGGTGTTTAGCCACTGTAGCCGGGTCGACCTGGAGACCTTCGTGAAGAAGCCGCTGACAACCTGCCTGACCAACGCCCCTGACCTTGACCAGCTGGTGGGCGGCCCCGTGTGTGGGAACCTGTTTGTGGAGCACGGAGAGCAGTGTGACTGCGGCCTTCCCCAGGTGCGCCCGTGCCCTACGCTCGCCCCCGGCAGCCTGGCACTTGGGGCTCCCTGGGGGTCGGGAGGCCCAAGGGGAGGCGGGGAGAACGTGGCCGCTTGGTCCTTGGTGGTCCAGGGAGGCAGGCGGGGTCCCTCTTGGAGCCTGGTGCTGGCCCCAGCCTGCAGCCTTTCCAGGCTTTCGCGTTGCCCTCAGGACTGTCGGGACCGCTGCTGCAATGCCACCACCTGCCGGCTGGCTGAGGGGGCTGAGTGTGCCCATGGCACCTGCTGCCAGGAGTGCAGGGTGAGCACAGCCCTCCCGCCCAGGACTCCCTCCAGGACCCAAGGCCGGTGGGTGGGAAGCAGCCCTGGGGGCCCTGGGCGTGCCTGGGCCTGCCTCCTCCGTGAGCTGCTCTCCTTGGGGGCAGGTGAAGCCAGCCGGTGAGCTGTGCCGCCCCCAAAAGGATGCGTGTGACCTCGAGGAGTTCTGTGACGGCCAGCGGCCAGAGTGCCCGGAAGATGCCTTCCAGGAGAACGGCACGCCCTGCCTGGAGGGCTACTGCTACGACGGGAGCTGTCCCTCACTGGCCCAGCGGTGCCGGGACTTGTGGGGGCCAGGTGAGGCAGGCCTGGTGCTGGCCAGGAGGTTCGCTGGGGCCTCATCACAGGATAACCTGCTCTTGGCCCCGCAGGTGCTCGGGCTGCTGCAGAGGCCTGCTTCGCATATGGCAGCATCGCCCCAGGCTGCAAGGGCGGGAGCTCCCTGGGGATGGGCAGGTGAGCCTCGAGGTTAGACCCCCCGGGCCCAGGACGCAGGGTGTCCCCACCGCTGTGGTCAGCCCCAGAGGGTGCTCCCACAAAGGAGTCCCGCTCTGCTGAGGCAGGTGGCTCTCCAGGGTCCTCCCTGGGCCTCACGGACCCCAAGCTCAAGAACGCCATCTTGGGGAGGGAGGGAGGCCATGTCTGCTGCAGCTCCCAGCACTGGCCTGGTCGAGCTGGCCTCACGACCATCCCACTGTCTGCAGAGTCAACAGGTGTGGTGTCCTGCACTGTGACGGGGGGCAGAAGCCCCTGGAGCGGAGCAGCTGCACCCTTACCTCCCACGTGGCTGTGTGCCATGCTCTGGCCACAGACGATGGCTCTGCCTATGAGCTGGTACCCGAGGGCACCAAGTGCGGCCAGGAGAAGGTAAGCCAGCTGCCTGCAGGCATCTGGGTGCATGCCCCACACAGGCCCAGATGTTTCCCTGCTGATGGCGGCTGCTAGCGGCTGTGGGACAGAGACCCCTCCGGCTTTTAGTAGAAGCCAAGGAGAGGTGTCACCAGGAGAGACAGCGATGCCCATTCTCAGTTGGTTTGAAGACTGCTGGATGCCTGCCTTGTCCTCCAGAGGGGCCACACATCCACATCCTCCAGGGCCTCAGGGGTGGGTCGACCAACCCAGCCTGCCCCCCCAGCTCACCCTGTAGGTTTCAGGGGAGAAAGGAGCAGGGACAGGGAGTCCAGACTGGCTGCCTAAGAGGACTCTCCACCCCCACCCCCCGTCTTCAGGTTTGCTGGAAAGGACTCTGCCAGGACCTCCAAGTCTACAGATCCAGAAACTGCTCTGCTCAATGCCACAACCATGGGGTACGTGTTGCCTTACAAGACACACCCCGAGTCTGCTGTCCCCCAATCCCAGGCTGCTGCTCTGACAGAGCCATTGGTGGGGGCAGCTCGGGATGCAGGAGCCTGAGGCTTGGGTGGGCTCAGTGTGTCCCATCCGTGGGGGTCTTGGTGGAGCTGAGGCCCGTCTTGGGGCTGAGGCCCAGCTCAGGTGATCTCGGTAGATGGCACCTGTGAGGTCACTAGGCAATGGGGGAGAGGCTGCCTGGGGAGACCTCACAGTTGGCGCATGTGGGCGGAGTACAGGAGGTCCTTAGCGGTGGGGCTGGCTCAGGGGCCCTTGTCCTGCAGGCATCGCCTCCACTGTCCCTCTTGGGTCCATGTGCCTGTGCTTCCCGGGGCAGGGAGTTACCGGCCCCCTGCCCCTGAGGCCTGGCCCTCCCTCCAGGTGTGCAACCACAAGAAGGAGTGTCACTGCCATGCAGGCTGGGCTCCACCCCACTGCGCAGAGCTGCTGACTGATGTACACCAAGGTAGGGCCTGGACACGCAGTAGCCCCGTGCTGAGGTGGGGAGCTGAGCTCAGATGGCCAAGCGGGGGCCAGGCAGGAATCACAGGCCTGGGAACCACAAGGTGCTCGGGGTGCGGGTTTGCGGCCCTGGGCATCTGGCCTGCAGATCCAGGCAGGGCCCTGCAGGCTCACGCAGTAAGGAGAGCCCTGTCCCAGAGGGAGGCACAGGGGCCGAGAGCAGTGTCCAGCTATGAGCTCCAGGCATCCTGAGCCCGTGTCTTCCAGCCCCTCCTTGGCCTGGGGCCCTGGGGCCACCCACACCACAGTGTCATCCTCCCCAGGGGCCACTGAGTGAGCAGTTGTCCAAGGCACCAGACCTCAAGGGCTGGGCCATGCCTGAGCCCCTGTGGGCCTGGGACCACCCGCCACCGAGCCCTCGAACTCATCACCAGAGCGCCAGGCGCATTGGTGTCGCATGCCAGGTCCTCCACCAAGGGCCCTCAGCTGGGTGTAGGGCATGGAGCCCCAAGTGCCCAGGGCATGACCAAGGGATGAGGCAGGCTGGTCTCTCGGGCCCTCCCCAGACCCCGCTGCCTCCGATCAGCATCCCACCCCAGCTGACACGAAGCCTCATGGTCCTGCAGCGTCTGGAGGCCTCCCTGTCAGCGTGCTCGTGGCTTTGGTCCTCCTGGCAGTTGTGGTGGTCATCCTGGCAGGCTTCGTCATCTACCGAAGGACCCGGGGCCGCGTCCAGAGGTGAGGAGGGGACAAGAGTCCCACTATGGTCAACACGCGGCAGTGCTTCCTGTGCACCTAGGTGGCGGCTGCTCCTTCCACGTCCCCTGGACATCCGACAGGCAGGCCTGGGCTACACAGCAGAGCTTTGTGCCGTCTGCCTCTCACTAGGGCTGGGACAGGTGACAATTCTGGTGATAGACTGGGTATGTGGTAAATCAAGAGAGGCCAGGTGGAACCCCTCAGACCCTGAGCCAGCCCTGTGAGCCCCCACGAGCCTCCTGCCACATCCTAGGTGGGTGGTTCCACTTTGAGACCCACCCTGGGGACCGGACCCCCAAGCTGACCGTCGTGGGACACACTTGCCCAGTGGTCTCTGAAAGTCTCCCACCCACCTGATTGGGCCCCAGGGCTGATAGGGGCCCCCAGGACAGGGTGCTGTCACGGCCTCTTCAGGGACCCCCCCTTCCCTTCTCCTGGGCCAGTGTATCGCTTGTGGCTTGCCTCTCGCTTTGCAGTCTGCCTGGAGACCACTGGAGCTGAGAGGGACCCTGTGGCCAGGACACTGACAGCGCCAACTCACCCTGTGCTTCCTTCCCAGGAGCGTGGCACCCAAGACCACCATGGGGCTCTCCAACCCCCTGTTCAACCAGGGGGCTGGCCATGGGCCAGCCAGGGGGGGGGCTCCACCCCCCAGGTGGGCCCCCCCAGAGCTGGGGTCTGCCACACACCCCAGCCAACTGACCAGACCCGTAACTTCCTCTGTGACCCCGAAGAGGCCACCTCCTGATGTAAGCAACGTTCCGTGACAGGTTCATGAGGCTGAAGAAAGGGGTTTCCCAGGCTCCCCTGTCCCATATCCCAGGGTGGAGCTCACTGGGGCTGGTGAAACCCTTTTGTGTCAGCTGACTGTTGGGACTCTGGTGGCCCTGGGGCTGAGAGCCACTGTTGCAGTCACCACCCCTGGGGGAAACTGAGCCTTTTTAAGAATGGGCAGCCTGAGGACCCGCATGAGTGGTGATAAAATTGGAGGCAGAACTTGAACCTTTGGCTTTGAGGCCAGCGAAAGGTTCTCAGCCTCCACAGTGTTCATCTGTGGGCAGTTTTGAGACCCAGACGCCACCTGTTCCCCTGCTCCAGGATGTGCATCTTCACCGCTGAAGGAAGGGAACGGGCCGGGCGGGGCCCCTCAGGGGTGGGGCAGAACCCCCAAAACACAGAGGCCTGCCTTCCCTCTCCTCTGGGTGGTGGGCCAGAAGCCTCAGCTCCTGGAACTGGGATATGCGGGGGGCGCGTGGGGCTTAGCACCAACTCAGGCTCTTGGCCCCATCCCCTGCAGCCTCCAGCTGCCGTCTCCGGCCCACCCTTCCCAGTTCCTGTCTACACCCGGCAGGCTCCAGGGCAGGTGAGTGGCGGTGGTTGGGGCCCTGTAGAGGGTGGCCAGGCCTTCCTGGGGGGCGGAGGGTCTGGGCACTGCACTGGTGGCCGGGGACCCCCAGGTAGTGGCAGTTGCGCCTGAAAGGCTGGTTCGACTCAGGATACGGAGGCGAGGACGCAGTCCTGCCCTCCTGGCCCGTGGGGCTGGTTTGTGGGGTCCTCCTCCTGACTCCTCCTCCTCCAGCAGCTCAGACCTTCTCCACCCACCAAGCCCCTCCCAGAGCAGAAGCCCAAGCAGGTAAGAGGACTCCCAGTCCCGTGGCCCTGCAGGACAGGTGACTGGGTGGGGCTCGGTTCTTCCCTTGGGTACGGGAGTCTAAATGAGACTCACTGGGGCCTTGGTAAGTTGAGACTTAATTCCCAGACCTCTGTCCCCTCTCCCCGCTGTCGTGCTGGGGTCCTGTCGTCCAGCTCAGGTTCCCACCGTTCAGACTAGCCCTATCCCAAGAGTCTGAACCGGGGCAGACTGTCCCCTTCCTCAGAGCCCTGTGGGAAAGGGTGGGGTCTGGGAGCACGCCTTGGCCGCAGCCCTGGAGAGGGACCCTGGGCTGTGGGTGGAGGACGGCGAGCCCCACCCCAGGGCTGCAGGTTCAGCTGGGTGCAGAGGGCCAGGCTTTGTCTCGAGCGCTGCATGAGGCCCAGCAGTACCAGAGAGGCCCACCTGGTGTTGCTAGGCATCCCTGAGTGGCCTTCTCTCCGCCTCCCTGGGGTGGGTACAAAGGGGACAGGACAGTGGCAGGCAAGCTGTGGGCTGGGGCCAGCCCCAGAAGATGTCCCCCGAGTATGGCTCTAGTGGGCCTTAGTGTGCTCCCCACTCCACAAGCGTTCCTGGGTTTGTTCTGAGGACTGGGCCATGCAACTAAGCCCTACCTTTGTGCCCTGGCTACAGAGGGTTTTTGTTGCTGTTGTTGTTGTTTGAGTTGGAGTTTCACTCCGTCGCCCAGGCTGAAGTGCAGTGGCACGCTTACGGCCACCCCAGCTTCGACCCGCTGGGCTCAGGCAATCCTTCTACCTCAACCTTCCAAGTAGCCAGAACTACAGGTGCACGCTACCACACCCAGCTAATTTTTGATTTATGGTAGAGACGAGGTCTCTCCAAGTCGCCCGGGCTGACCTCAAACCCGTGGGCTCTGGCCATCCACTCGCCTCGGCCTCCCAAAATTCTGGGATTATAGGCTTGAGCCACTACACCTGGCCTGTTTTTTGTTTTAACTTTTGTTTTTGAACAAATTTTAGACTCACAGAAAAGCTGTAACAAGAGCACAAAGTCCCACACATCCTTCACATCGGCAGGGAGGGCTGCCTCACCTCCCGGACACCCCTTGTTGGCCTGGGGTCTCCCTGTCCACTCAGTCCTCAGGCCCCTCTGCCTTTCCTGGCTGGCACTTTGGAAGAGTGTCGGTTGGCCATTTTGTCAGCGTCCCTCAGTTTGGTCTGTCTGATTCTTTTCATGAGTGGACAGCGGCCATGCACTCTTGGCAGGACTAGCACGTGAAGTGTCTCCCAGGGCACGCACCGGGCTGGGGTCCCTGTGCGTGTCGCTGGTCTCTGGTGAAGTTGACACATGGTTTGCTTGTGTTGGTATCTGCAGTTTCTCCTCTGTAAAGTTCCTGTCTTCCCTTTGGACTTCATAAATGCCTCAGGGAGATGCCGTTGAGACTCTTTGAATCCTATTTCTCCTTAAACTCTGACCCACTAGTTTTGACATCCTTTGGTGAATTTTGTCTGTAACAGTTGCTGCTGTGGTGTTTGCTTCACGGTGATTTTTAGCCAGGCGTGGTGGCTTGCACCTGTAATCCCAGCACTTTGAGAGGCAGCGGCGAGAGGACTGCCTGAGCCCAGAGGTTTGGGACCAGCCTGGGCAGTTTAGTGAGACCTCGTCTACAATAAATCAAAAAGTGAACCAGGCATGATAGCACATGCCTGTAGCTCCAGCTACTTGGAAGGCTAAAGTGGAAGGATCACCTGAGCCCAACAGGTCGAGGCTACGGTGGCCATGAGCGTGCCACTACACTCCAGCCAGGGCGACACAGTGAGACTCCAACTAAAAAAAAAAGTGATTTTTAATTTCTCTTTCCTTTTTAACTGTTATTATTGAACTAATTTTTTTTTTTTTGAGTCGGAGTCTTACTCTATCACCCAGGCTAGAGTACAGTGGCACACTCACAGGCCACTACAGCCTCGACCCGCTGGGCTCAGGTGATCCTTCCACCTCAACCTTCCAAGTAGTTGGAATGACAGGCACGCGCCACCACACCTGGCTAATTTTTTTTTATTTATTGTAGGGATGAGGTCTCGCCAAGTTGCCCAGACTGGTCTCGAACCCGTGGACTCAGGCAATCCTCTCACCTTGGCCTCCCAAAGTGCTGGGATTATAGGCATGAGCCGCCGCACCCGGCATTGGACTAATTTTATTTTTTATTTATTTTTTTTATTTTTTGAGTTGGAGTCTCATTTTGTCGCCCAGATTGGAATGCAGTGGCCACTCCCGGCCACCGCAGCCTCGACCTGCTGGGCTCCAGCGATCCTTCCACCTCAGCCTTCCGAGTAGC